TGATGCAAATTGCTCTCCAAACAAGGACATATCCTCCTCATGTTGCTACTACCATTGGATATGTGTCTCCAGTCATATCTTCAAGTGGTCAAATCTCTTTATCATCATCTCATAGAATTGTGGTTGGTGCATAGGTGCTAGAACTGGAGCTGGTGTTGGTGCCAAAGGTCTCCCCCTTCCACATCAAACTCCTACTCCTCTGTAGATTATTCCCCATTGCATTTATCACTAAAAAGGAGGTGGAAGGAATTGTCGGTGTAGGTAGGGAAAATGTCTACTGGTTGAGAATACACTAGTTGGTATTTGACATCTAAGATATAGGCAATAATGTGTCCTTGAGCGATATTCTACCTATGTCAGATCGCTGTATTTCTAATGGATGTAAGGTTATCAATGTATATAATAATCATGCTTGCTTCATCGAACTCAATTACAGTCATAATGAAATAGGTGACAATAGACAATAAGGGGGCAATGTTACTCTATCTCCAGCTTTGGGTAATATTGAGGTTCTAAGAATATACTGGATGATGCCGGCGTGTTAGGTGAGAGTGTTTACAAGCGACTAGTGTTTATTGAGTGGTGTGTTTCTTAGAGTCAGATTGACCTGTGTTCAATCATAATCCCCCCTAGAGCTAACACTATGGGGTTATACTCCTTCAATAGAGAGGTGGAGGTATTAATCAAAGTCCTCATAGGTAATTTCTACAGGTCACTTACCGACATAGGATTGTAGGGAGGTTCTATCCACATTGAATCTTAGGCTTGCAAAAAATTCATATAAGAGTCTAAAGGGAAATGCTAGAGTCAGAATAAATTGGAGTGTGGTGCTACCTTGTAGTTTATGATATCTTGGTTAAGGATCCTCGAAGGAGAAATTATAGAAGGATTAAGATGTCCTAGCCTTTTGTCCTAAAAAATATGAGTCCCATGTAGTAAGATGTGTGAGGTTTTAAACAATGATGGAAACTGAAAGGAGGAATTACACGATTCATATGATCTGGGAGAAAGCAAGCTAGGTCATGTGAAGCGTATAGACCAATTCAGCTCAATTGGTCATGGTTTGTCTTGGCTCAGATTATTTCAATAATATACCCAAGAGAACTTTGTTATCATTATTACAGTCATATTAACAGTACAAAAAATATGTTCAACTTTAAACTTACTATAGCTTCTTTGTGATGAAAGATAGTTTACTATGGACTAAGTTGCTAGTTTTGTTTCTAACTTGCAAGGAAAGTAACATATAAGATCATTAAATACTTTAGCTATTTTGTTGCCTTTTTTTAAATTGATTTTTGGCAGAGTGATGAGTATGAAGTATGATAAAGATTGCTTTTGTGGATCAAGATGTCAAATTTAATTAGCAAAAGGCCTAATAAATTTTCATTGATTCAATATAGGAATGAATAATGCCATTTACACTTTATTTTACAAAGCTCTTTCAAAAAACTCTCCATTATTGCTCCAAGCTAACTATAGCTTGTGCGGGTCCGTAACTATTTCCAGCACCAAAACAGTGCTTTACCCCTAGATGTCCAGTCAACTGCTGCGCCTCAACGCATTTCGGGGAGAACCAGCTAGCTCTGGGTTCGAGTGGCATTTCACCCCTAACCACAACTCATCCGCTGATTCTTCAACATCAGTCGGTTCGGACCTCCACTTAGTTTCACCCAAGCTTCATCCTGGTCATGGATAGATCACCCAGGTTTGGGTCCATAAGCAGTGGCAATCCTAAAACAACTTCTTAAATAAATTTGCAACACTATTTTCTCTTTATTTTAAAATTTTTATTTTTATTTTTTAACAAAATTAAATTCAAATGATTCTCAATGTTCTCAACTTTGGATTTGCACGAAAGTAAAATGACAAGAAAGTAAAATGACAAGAAATTAAAGTGCGATACAAACAAGAATAAATATACTAGAGATTTATAGTGGTTCGATCAACCTTGACCTACGTCTACTCCCCAGAGTTCTTCACTTCGAGTATTGCACTAAACTCTTAGTGGTTCTTCTTTTACCCCCACAATAAGGCGGAGAAGCTTTTACAAAATCTCTTCCACCAACCTAGTGCAGTGGAGTATCGTATCCCTTTCACCAACAGTGCGATGGAGTAGCTGGATCCTTTTCACCAATGGTGCGGTGGAGTAGCTGAATCTCTTTCACCAACAGTGACAAAGTTGCTTGTGACCCTTTGAATCCAAGAGGTTCTTCTAGAATTTTCCCTTAAGTAAAACTTTTACTCATGGAGGATGAAGGTGGATGATGGCCAGAGCAATCGTGTGAAGACTCTCTCTCTCTCTCTCTCTCTCTCTCACACACACACACACACACACACACATACTCCCTTGATCTGACAATGCTATTCTCCCTCTTTCAACACAGTTTTCTCTTAAAAGACAAAAGCTCACTTTTCAAGTTGGAAAAATTTAGTGGGCATGTTAATGTTTAATGTGGATTGTGTTGTTTTCTTGTTCCTTATCTTGAATTGGATATTCAATTATTTATCATGTTTGCATTTCCATTTTTGAGAAAAAAATCTGAACTTGTGAAAATACATGTGATCCTTATTATGTGATCCTTGTTATGCGTTATTCATAAACCTATTAAAATATTTTTACACGCCTTATTATGCGTATTCAATGACATGAGTGATCCTTTTTGGGTAAATTCGATTTTTCAGATGTATCTATGCATTCTGTTTTGTGAATGGGTGACATTTGTGCAACTTATGTGTGATGTTGCGTCCTTAGCCTGTCATTTTTGTTGTATTCGATTGAATTGATCTCAAGGTCCTTCTTTGGATGTGAGCACCATCACTCCACAATTTATTCCTGTTATTGAATCAATGTATTTTTCGTTAGTGCACATGAGCCGACATTTTACTACAAAATGGAGTATTGAAAGGAAAAAAAAGGTATAAATTATAGTAACTCAAAATTTTCTTTTTTACCTTATGTTTTAAAATATTTCTTGGAAAAAACCATGTTATGTGTAACATTTTTCATCAATTGTATGCCTTCTTGAATACTAAATTTGTAAGCTCGTTGTTATCCTGCAAGCCTACCCACATGCCCATATCATCGCTTCCATTCCAATCAAATTCTTCAGATGCACCTCTTTTGTCCACAAACATACTCAACATCTCAACAAATTTAAACCTAGATAAGTCAAATTTATTTTTCTTGGATTCTCATCGAATAAAAAGGGTGTAAGTGTTTTTCTCCACCCACAAAAAAATTATAATGTCATGGATGTCACCTTTTTTTTTTCAAATAGTAGACGTTTTTTACCAAAGATGATATGAAGGGGGAAAATTTTGGGAATACCATCTTTGGGAAATCCAGCTTACTACTGTGACCACTCCAGCCCTTCAAACTGGTCCAGATAAACTCAACTAAAAAAACTGTCTTACCAACTCACTGAAATCAATTGCCACTCTTCATATTCTATACATAATGCCATAAGGAAAGTATTGCATACTCCAGGAGGTTGAAAATCGAAGAGAAGACAGTAAAACTATTGCATACATTATGCTTCTCAACTCCACATCAGTAACATAACTATTGGACCAGCTTTATATGATCTTGGTCAAGCTATTTCAATCTGGAAATGTATTAGATTTTGTATTGAGCACTCTATCTACAGCTTCATCTAATATGAAAAGCTAGCTCTTACTTATCATGCCCTTGTTACATCATTAATAGAGGTTCAAATTTGAATAATATTTAGGGAGCTCTTGGGCAAACTCAGTGAAAGTGTGTTGTAAATGAATAAATTGATGCCCTTGAAAGAAATGGTGCATTGGAAATGACTAAACTTCCAAAAAAAAGAGGCCAGTCAGTTGTAAGTGAAAATTTTCCATTAAAGATAAAATTGGCGGTTGTTTGAACAAATTCAAAGCTTGGTTGGTGGCCGAAGGTTTCACCAAATTTTATGGGATAGATTATTGGGAGCCATTTGCCCTGGTTGTTAAACTTAAGTCCATTCATTCGGTTCTCTCCAAAATCTAAATATTCCCCTACACCTACTTGATATTAAAAAATATTTTTCTAAATGATGATATTGAATAAGATGTCTATATGTTTGTTTCCCCTGAGTGAGAGTCAAGTCAATGTTGACAAAGTTTGCAAGCTTCGAAAAACCTTATAAGATCTTAAGCAAACATTCTTTAAATGGTTTGACTAATTATTAAGGGTGGTGACGATGCATCGATTATCTCAAAGCTAAGTTGATTTTGTTTGATAATTGCTACCCAGTTTGAGGGGAATTAAGAGATGTTGCTGAGATCCTCCAATTTATCCTTTCGCCAACACTTTTCCAGTGAGCTTTCATTTTTGCTTTGTCCAGGTCATTGCTCAAAAGTATTATTCTTATGTACTTTTTGTAATTTCATCCATCTCAGTGATCCAAGGCATTGATCTTTCCTTCTTTGTATTTCATTAAATGTAATAAAGGTACTGTTTAAATATTCGGATCATGTTTTGTCATTTTTCATTTTTTGGTCATTCTATGTTTTGAAAGTATTTATTTGTAGTTGATGGGAAGATTGTGGATCACCTCCTTACATTTCTATTTACACGTAGTTTTTACTCATGAATCATTGAATAATTAAATCAATAAATTCTTCTACTTATTTCTTGAAGTGGGCTCCATCAAATTACTAGTGTATACATTTCTTCTGTCAAAATAAGTTAATCTATCACTAGTGACCAATATGTTTCATCAAACTGGATTTTCATCTTTTTCTCAGGTGAGGACTTAACATTTGCTTTTACTTAAAATTTTTTTAACAACACTTCCATGTCAAATTCTCGAAGAACATTGAGGTTGTTAACTTTCCTACTTTTCAGTTATTATTAGTACTGCATATAACTTGTTTCCATGTTAGAATGGTATGCTTTTTTATTTTCTTATATGTTTATTTACATGACAATGACGGTAAATCTGCTGGGATTTCGTCTTGAGCATTTTTTTTTCTCAATGTTTTTCTAGTTCAATGGTTCCTGGCTCGAGAAATCCAATGTGGGGAGAAGAGTTTAATTTTTTTGTTGATGCTCTTCCTGTCCAGGTTAGTTTGATGTGCCCTTGCCCCATTATTTCAATATTAATGACTGCATCGAACAAGTATCATGCATGAGCTCCTAGCCGATCACTTTTTTTTTGCTGATTTTGAAACATCATTTTTTTAGGAATACCGTGAAGAGAGATTAAGATTTATTTTTACTGTCTTTTCTACTTTTTGATGAACTCAAAATAAATTTGAGGAAGTTTAATGCTGTTTCATATCAAATATCATCTATCTGACTATAATCCAAAGTTCCAATTCTTTCGTCAAAAAATGGGCCTAGCTCACAGTGTCCAATGGTGTACAGGATATTTAAGGATTCACTGCTATTGGAACAAATGAAAATATTTGTGTTGTCATAACCTTGAGAAAACAAGGGAAGTTGACTTGAAACTTGTATGTTGAGGTGGTGTGCCACGACCTGGTCAGGAGGCTCGAATCAACGAAGTAGTTACAAACGGTCGGATGGTTGATTAAATTTTCAATTGCTAAAACTATCACCGATAAACTAAAAGAGTCACTTAAAACCTCTAAATAAAAACATTTACAATAATTACCTTTCCCTCACAGTGTTGCGCCTACGATACACATTCTCTCATATTCTACTCATTTTAAGCTTTTGAATAATACTTGTAAATATTTTTCATTAAAACAGTAAGTCATAAAATAACTTAGTGAGTAAATCATGCTTCTAAATTATTGTAACAAAAGGCTTTTGAAATAATATGCATGCTCATTTCAAAACATAAGGTAATTCTAATTAAACATTTTAAGCATGTTCATCAATATTATGCATATTTCATATCTTTATCATTTTTTATAAATAATACAACCGTCACAGAAGATACCGTAAAAAATAGTGTCACAAAAGGTACTACTTTTCCATTTCATTTTTCTTTTTCATAACCTTTTCCATTTACGAGCACAAGTTGCTTCCCTAACCAAGTACCATAAGGGGGTGTGCTTTATCAATTCAACATGCACATACAAGTATGTCTATCTAGCCATTTCATTTATAACCATTCATTAATCTTATGTAAAACATAAGATGCTAATTTAATTTGAAATGATCAATCATTTTATATGTGAAAAATAAATCATTTGCTATGGAATTAGAAGCAACGATAAAATAAATAATTTGTAATAGCAATTAGAAGAAACAATACAATTACCTGTGGGCTCCGAAAATTCGGCCCCGACCTCCGCTCGCTTTTCTTTTTATTCATCTTTTAAATAAATTTCTATTCTTTTACTTATCCTCTCCTCTTATAAATGTATTTATTATTATTATTATTATTTAATTAATTTGCAATTTATTTCTTATAAATATATTGAACTTGTCTAATGAAATTGGCTCATAAATCATTAATTATTATAATAATTGGCCTTAAAATTTTATTGTCATTCTAATTTAAATTTAATTTCATAAATAAATTTAATAGCATTTTCAAATTCTATCTTATTATTATGCTAATTTAAATTTAATTTCATAAATAAGACACTCAGGTGTATAACACAAAATAAATACCCAAGCTGAAATAATATGCCACCATCAAGAAGGTGCTTCAAAAGCATCTGATGAAAGAGCATCCAGCCATTTTGAACCTTCCACCCGACCTGCCCCAAAATAATATCACGGGAAAAAGAATCATCCAATCATAATTTACACCCCAACAATAGCTTCAGCGCCATTAAAATGTCAAGTTTCGAGCCAGGAGCCAGCGGATCTTCTTGCTGCTGGTAAAATAACAAAAATTCCCATCCGGAATGCATCTTAAGTAGATTTGTTTAGCTGTCATCTGATTCCGTTGCAAAATCCAAGCTATTAAAATATGACAACCCCAGTGAGCTCTTCAAATACAATAGAAATATGAAAATAAAGCTTAAACCTAACTCGCTGCTGCTGCAGCATGGGGAGAGGGGTTTTTTTTGGAGGGGGTGGGGGGTGGTGTTACCAAATATCTCCAGTCTGCAGGTAATAATAGTAATAATGGGACACCAAAGTGCATAAACCACTTTGCACTCACTAATCTTCCTGACAAAGTCAAGATGTGTATATAGAGATGCCACCTCAGAAGCCTCTTGTAACAGCCTCCAATAATTAGCTGGCTTGCTACTGATCAACATGTTGAGAATCTAAGCAGTAGATTCAATGCAATTTGAGTAAACCCTCAATCAACATATCAGCCTATGCCTATTATTGAACTTAAAGACCACATTCTGTAATCCTCGTTCATATAGCAAAAGCTTCATAAGGTAGCATCCAGCAGCATGTTCTAATACAAAACATGCAAAATGGACCTGATGGTGGTGACAAATGGCCAGAACACATCCCTACGAAGTATATCATATATTTATGTACCTGTTGTGGCACAATGGTGTGTAAAGAAACCCAGTCGGTAAGTATATTAAATATATTCTCTAAATTTCGCTTTGGTGCTTTAATAGCATGACAGGGAACATAATGTGCTACACAGTTTGGTCTTGTTACAAGTATTTCTATTGATGCAGAAGATTTTTCTTTTCGATAAGATAATCCGCCCGCACTTTCATTTTTCTTCTACTGCTCATGAACTGTTATTTCTTGGAGTAAGAAGTTAATGTTTTTTTAAGAATTTTCGGAATTCCATTGCTGAATCAAGATTAATCACAAAACTCTTGTACTTTATGCAGCCCCTCATCAGATGTTATTTCAGCATATTTTGTTTATGCATCTTGAAACCACAGGCCTGTCTTTCATGTGATAATTTTTAATTTTCTGTGCGATACTTTCAGATTAGTGTCACAATTTATGACTGGGACATAATATGGAAAAGCACAGTGCTTGGTTCTGTCATTATTCCTATTGAAAATGAAGGTCAAACTGGAGCTATCTGGTACACACTAGATAGCATATCAGGACAGGTTTAGTATACCAGTATACCATCCATTCTATTATATATTTAATGGAAAGCTACTTTTATTTAAGTGCATGTCAATTTTTTTCAGGTTTGTCTTCATATTAAAACCCAGAAACTTCCGGTGACTTCTGGCAGGTTTTTTCTTGCTTTTATTGGGGCATGACACTACTTTCCTAATACCACGTCTTGTTTTTGCTTATTAAATTAATTTACTCCTTTTTTACTTTCAATTTTTCTTATCAAGAAGCTTTCTGTAAAGTTTGTGAGTTCATTGCCTGATGTATTAAGCTATTTGTTTGGCTTTCATGGCATATTTAAAATAAGTGGCCTTGTAGGAGAAGTGCCAAATATTGCTTCAGTTGCTGGAATGCTCCTGTTGTTATTTGTTCACAATGTTTGGTGTTTGAGCTTTTTCTAACGTCTTCTGATCCATAATATTTTCAATTTTTTTGATTGCTAATGTTTTTACATTATTAATTTTTCGTTTGTTGTCGAATATGGCATGGATGCTATAAATATTTAAGAATTTGTAAATGATCTAGTCTAAAGTCCAGTAGTAAAGGCAAATCGCTCATTTTACTTATTTAAACCTCTTTTCTATAAGGACATCAGATACAAACTCATTAAGGCTATGTTCTTCTCCTCAGCTTTTTAATTAGTTTAATGGTGCTAAGTTCCTCATCATTTAGGACTTACATGCTAGATTACTAAATTCTTAATTATTAGAAAGCGACTGGTGTTTAGATGATGGCATATACAAGGCGAACATAAGTTAACATCAATTTGGTTTTCGTTTCATAAAACTTCAATAACAGTAGTTTATATAAGTTTCTTATTTTTTTGCATAGAAGAAAAGTTTTGTTTTCAATCATGTGTTTGCAATTGTGTTTCTATGTGTTGAGGAATGACAGGAGGTCATGATGAAAGTTAATTTTCATAATATTGTACTGTGGGCTCCTAAAATTCGGCCCTAGCCTCCGTCGGACTGTGTTTTTTCTTTTCAGGGAGAGTTTTAACATATTAAATTCCGGGGTAAATTTTGGAAGGCAGATGGATTTGTAGATAAGACACTACCCAGAGATTTCGCCTCATTTTGCGAGGACTTTATAATCTGAGTTTTGGTTTCCTATAGGTGCAAGCCCCTATAGTTAATTACCCCTCCCGATTACGAGAGAGAACTTTCGATTAAGGCTAGTCGTTAATCAGAATATCAGATACATGTTATCTGGCATATAGTAGCAGCATTGGGCTTAGATGATATTTAAAATTAGAAATTTCACCATCTTGCATTTAAAGCGGATGGTGGGGGAATGAATGATAAACCCGATCAAGATCCCATGGTTTCGTCATCTTGGGCCATCATGGTCCCTGGTCTACTTAGTCAGAGGAGGTAATCGATCCAACCTGACAGAAGGATCATTGTCGGCGGCCATGTGTTGCTTCGTCCAAGGGTACCTTGTAGACATGGGGTGAATATTTGTCGAAGGGGACAAATTTGAATCCACCTTAGCTAACAGAGGGCTTTGTGCCATATCGATTATATCCTATTGATTCATATCTCAAGGATTTGATGCCACTAAGGAGCGTATTGGCTCTGACCATAATCGGTATTTCGTGGTGCCATTGGGCGGAAACCACTCGGTTCAGAGGGCCCCGGGTCATAACCTTTTATCCTGCGGTGTCATTTGGCGGCAAAAGCGCCGGTTAGAGGACACATACCACATCCTTACTGGCAGGAGATTGTTTAAGAATTGATCCTAGTGATATTCACGACCAGGCATTAGCTCTTTGTGAGCTTAAATAAATTTTAATTTGTCCACCCCGACAAATTGTTGCGGAGGGTGGATGGATTTTACTTTAAGTGGTTGATGATTTAATTTCAATTTTAAGTATTTTGGATTTTGGAAGATTTTGGGATTTTGGATTCTTTGGAGCATTAAATTTCGTAGGTATTTGAGTGTCATTTTGAAATTATTTATGAACCCCTCCGTATGAGCTCTTTATTCAACACGACCATCATCGGGGTGTTTTTAAATTCATTTCCATTTGAAAATATCTTCATTTTGTGGATGAACTTTGCCAACTCTGTTGAGCTGTCAATAAAGGATCGGGTTTCTCGGGTTTCATGACTTTATTTGTGAATTTTCTTTGTTAAATGCCTTGAAGACCTATTATGAATGTATAAAATAAATATTCCTGCCAACTTCTTGACCGCATATTTATCCGATGGTTCGAACCCTATCTACTCTTATTTACCTGCTTAGGATGATCGGATTTTGTAGGCTTTATGCCTTTATTAGTGAATTCTCTTGATTATAGGCCTTGAATGCCTAATATGAATGTATTAAAATAAATATACCGGTCGCCACAACTGTATATTTATTTGAAGATTCGAACCCTGTCGACTCTTATTGATCCGCATAGAAGGATCGGGTTTGAGCTTGAATTCACTTATTGACCCTCGCAACATCCCTAGACGTCACGTGTATACTTATAACAAGCTGGCCGGGGCCCTTGTGGGTGTTTGGGGGCATTTTATGATTATTTATTGAACCTTGTCGACTCCTACTTGCTTAGGAGGATTGAGTTCAAATTTATTGACTCGCGCAACATCCCTAGACTTCACATGTGTACCAATAACACGCTCGCTGGGGCCCATGCAGGTCGTGATTGTATTTACCCCTTTAGTGTACCTATGTGTATACAAACTACGGTGCATTTACGGGGGTACTTTGAAACATTTGTAAACACATTCTGTCCGCTTGCATGGATGTTGGGGATTCGGTGGCGGTTTTATCTGGATGTTATGATGCATTTCATCATCTTGATGTTGACTCCTCTTTCTCCTTCACGGGAAGGTCTTTCTTGAAATTCGTCACTGTAGCTTTGAAAAGAACTCCTTTCAAGATCACCAGTATAGTTGACCTATTATTTTCGGTGTTTGTGGATACCAAAACTGTTTTCTTCCTAAGGATAGGACCAAGAAGAAACTTTGGAACACCAGGAAGTTTAGTTCTAATTTGTTCAAACACCCCTTTCGTCCTGTCGGGAAATGCCTTTTTTTGTACATTGAGTTGTCTTCATACCCGACGTACTTGCGAATCTCAATTACCGTTGTTGTAGGTGATATCTGTACTTGTGTCCATAAGGGTTCGTTATACTTACGATATATCCATTGCTGTTATCCACAAGTAGCTCGTATTTATTTGTAGGGATCAGTTGTATTTACTACAAACTCTTGGGAGTGTTCGTAGAAGAACCATCATCCTTGCATCATATTCACCTTTCACCAATCTCAGGTGGTATGATGATCGTGCTTGTTTGTAGGGATGAGTCTTCCACTACCAAGGGGTAGTATTGCCATCTCAATCTACAGGCATTGTTGCTTGTGTTGGAGATCTCAATAATGCATATAGGACACACATGCATTCTGCAGCCATTCGTTGTTCTTGCAGGTATGACACATTTGACCTCGTAGGGGCTCGTATGTGCTTCAAATGCGTTGCATTGTGTATGTTTGTAAGAAACTTTGTTGTTTGTAGATTTGAATGCATGTCAACTAGCATTGACTGCGGAAGGATTACATGTCACTTTGAACTTGATATTTGTATATTCATCTAAAATTCCTTTCATCTTTGTGGTGCTTAAGAGTCATTCGCTCTTTCTTGTTCTCTTCAACCTTTGCTTGCAAGCTAATTGATTGTCGAATGTGTTAGGCCGGCCTCTCCTGGGCCGGTTGAACTGATCCCTAATGGACCGATTCTCACTTATAGTAGTCGGCCCAAACCAGGCGGACCTGGGAAGGGGGGGGGGGGGG